CCTTCCTCTCCTAATCCAACTAGGGAAGGGGGGAATCCTACTCCCGGTGGGAGTAGGACTCCCTTGGGCGCGCCATAGAGGGTCGGACCCTCCCCCTCCTCCACTCCTTTATATACGGGGGAGGGGGGCACCCCATAGACACACAAGTTGACAATTGTCTTAGCCGTGTGCGGTGCCCCCCTCCACCATAATCCACCTTCGTCATATCATTGCAGTGCTTAGGCGAAGCCCTGTTCCGGTAGCTTCATCATCACCGTCATCACGCCTTCATGCTGATGAAACTCTCCCTCGACACTCAGCTGGATCTAGAGTTCGCGGGACGTCACCGAGCTGAACATGTGCAGATCACGGAGGTGTCGTACCTTCGGTGCTAGGATCGGTCGAATCGTGAAGACGTACGACTACATCAACCGCGTTGTCATAACGCTTTCGCTTACGGTCTACGAGGGTACGTGGACAACAATCTTCCCCTCTCGTTGCTATGCATCACCTAGATGGATCTTGCGTGTGCGTAGGAAAATTTTGAAATTACTACGTTCCCCAACAATAAGTATTGGGGCCTATTGAGCGAGCAGTACAGTGCCATTTAGTCCCAATGTAGTCAGAAAATGCATCTTCTAACTCTTTCACACTAGCCTCTCCTTCAATCATTGTAATTACTACACTAGTAGCCCTCTCCTTAAGCTGCTTAGCAGTGCATAAGTCTGGGATGTAGAAAAATCCCTAGCCCTTGGCCTGGAAAGCACACATCGGTGCCACACACTCCCAAGGCAGAAAGGTAGTGCAAACCGATGCCAAATGCCCCATCTTACTACACCTCTCACAGAAAGCTTGTGGACAACTAGAGGAGTATGGCTAGTGGATTTGCAGATCAAACATGGATCGTAAGCTTTGGGTGGAAGCACCTGGGAGGAAGACTCAGCACGCGGGGTGGTGTCATAGATCTACTTCTTCTTGTGGGAGCCCGCTGCATTGAAACCAGGAGGATTAGGGTTCTTCTCCACCCAGACCCCCCTGATCTCGCCCGCTTGGCTCGCTCTGCTGCTTCATCCCACCGCTCGGTGTCGTCCGATGCCGACGCCCCCTTCTTTTTGGTGGAGAGATCGTCGCCGTCGACCTCCTTGGACCACGAGAAGCGGCCCCGGTCGCGTCCCCGGCCAAACCGACCGGCTCCGCGCCCCATTTGCCCAGATCCGAAGCCTTCCCGTCGATTCCCGCGGAAAGCTTGGCCACTGCGATCTTCCATCACCGCTGGCTCGCGTGGCTTGGAGGCCACCACCGCAACGTAGGATCTGCTGTCGCCTCCAACCTTTCCCTCCCACCAGAGGAAGGAGGAGGAGATTCTTGATCTAGGGTTTCTTGGTGTCTCTCAGAAGTGAGAAAGAGTGGCGTCTAGGTCACGGATCGGGGTGGGAGGAGCTTTTGTACCCGCGCATCCCTGATGCACACCATGGTCGCGCGAATCTCCGTCCATGTGTCGAGCATCAATGGCGGCCGCCCCAACCGTGGCTGGATGTGGCCCGAGGATCCCTGGGCCCCGCCATCGTCCATCCGGAACATGACTCGGTGCATCGCACACACCATTGCTCGTCGGTCGCTCCAAACGTGCACACGCAACCGTGTCGCTCGTCGGGATCCGGTCCCGAACCCTAGCTATGTGACAGGGAAAGGAAACGACCTGGCCTACGTCGATGAACTCCCCTTCGCGCAGGTAGCGTGCATCCACCGTCGCTCCCTTCTCGTCAATCAGCACGATCCAGAGAGCACCGTGGCGGAGGAAGATCTCGCCATCGGCGAAGTGGAGGGTGCGTGCCGATGCGAGGTCCGCCGCAAAGGAGACGTGCCAGCGTACGTCAAACGCCATCTTCCTCTCCTCGTGTGCACAATTTCAGTGTTAAAGAGTTTCCTAAAAGACTTCAAATGGCCATTTTCACATAGCCCACATAATGAGGATATCCAACACATAGGAGTATTTGGGAGGGCGAGCTGCCGAGTTCAGCATGTAACAGATCACACGAGGGAAAACTATTCTTCCGGGGAAAACTATGCCCTCAGTTCGAGTTGATTTTTTTTGAGCATTTTTTTTATGGGTGGGCCGAAGATGCTGACGGGTGACCATCTATCCTCCTTTCAGCTGTTTGACCGCGGGCTAGCACCCCACCCGAAGTACGAGTCCACGGCCCACGACCAGCCCCAACAGCCCTTCTCCGCCGAGCCGCCAGCGCCAGCCGGCCGCGCCACCAACCCCCGGGTCCCAACCGCCGACCGGCCACGCCGCAAAAAGAACCCCCCGACCCGTCCCGCCCGCCACTCCGGCACTCCCACTCCCACTCCCACCTGCCCCGCGCCGCGCGACCAGCCGTCAAGCCACGCCGCCGCTCGCCCCAGCGATGCCGCCACCCTCCCTCCTGCTCTTCCACTGCCGCGCCCCGCTCCCGCACCGCCCGCTGCGGATGAGCTCTCCGTCGCCGAGCAGGAGGGTCGTCTGCTCCGCCTCCACCGCCGAGGGGTACATCTCCGCGGCGCCGATCCTCCTTCCAGACGGGCCATGGAAGCAGGTGATTAGCTCGACCATTTGGCTGTGCTCCCCGCTGGCTCGTCGTCAGGGCTTTGCCCTCTGAATCTGCTTTGGTGTCGATGCAGGTAGAAGGCGGCGTCACGGCGGCGAAGGGGTTTAAGGCCGCGGGCATCTACGGCGGCCTGCGCGCCAAGGGACAGAAGCCTGACTTGGCGCTTGTTGCTTGCGACGTCGACGCCACCGTCGCCGGTAAGACTACCACGAGCGCTTTCTTCATGGTATGGTAGTCAATTCACAACTAGGAAATTTCTATGAGCGTATGCTCAGTTGCTCACTATGATGAACAACCGTTAATTATTCTGTTGCTTTCTGATGTAATGTATGATCGGTAACCTATCAGTTAGACTCAGTTCTCATCGTGTTGGGTTCCTTTCAGGATCTTTTACAACAAATGTTGTTGCTGCTGCGCCTGTTCTGTATTGCAAGCGTGTCCTTAGTTCATCCAAAACAGTAAGATAATTCTGCCCCTAGTCTTACCTTGCCAAAACTAAAGAAAAATTGTTCGATGGAAAAATTATGATACACAATGGTAGTGGTCATTCATTGAGGGGTATTAACTGTTATCATTTTGCTGTTTACTAGGCTCGTGCTGTGTTGATTAATGCTGGTCAAGCAAATGCAGCCACTGTAAGTCTTTCTGCCTTTCGGGAGAACTTAATATGATCGTCAGCATCTCTGAACTGTATTTTGGAATGCACTGACTGAACAAGAGCTATTTCTGTAAATAATTGGTCATCAGGGTGATGCAGGATATCAGGACGCAGTGGATAGTGCAGAAGCTGTTGCCAAGGTACCGAACCTGTCCCTCGGATGCCTATGCACTACGCAGCGCATCACTGCTGCTAGTTTGACCAATTATTGCTGTTTCAGCTTTTGAATGTGAGCACAGATGACATACTGATCCAGTCCACTGGTGTCATTGGTCAAAGAATAAAAAAGGTACAATAGGTTTTTGCAACAAATCTACACTCGAGTGTTTCATATGAGGTACTCCCTCGGATTCATATTAATTATCGCTGCTTTAGTATAACTCTGTGCTAAAGTTGTGCTAAAGCAGGGACAATTAATATAGATCGGAGGGAGTGGTAGCTAAGCAACTTGTCTGGCAATACGACACCACACATTGTCTGACCTGTTAGAGTTTCCATCTGATGCTTGTGGGTTTTAACAATGCAGGAAGCACTTATAAATTCACTTCCTAGACTTGTGGGCTCTCTGTCTTCATCTACTGAAGGGTATAGTCATTATATATAGTCTTGTGAGCAACAATTTGTTTTCTCAAAGCCTCCACAAACGTAAACCTATTGAGATAAAATCACCACTAGGAGCTTAATGATTTGCTATCTTTAAACTATTATTTTTGTCCTTCCATTACAGTTCAAATTCTTCAGCTGTGGCCATCACAACTACAGACCTTGTTAGCAAGAGTATTGCTGTCCAGACTGAGGTTTGAATTTCTTTATTTACTTGCATATAGGATTCGTTGGCTTCTATCATGAATTGACATGATCTTGATTATCATCAATTCTTACTAAAAAAATAGATTGGAGGAGTGCCTATCAAGATAGGAGGAATGGCCAAAGGTTCCGGGATGATTCATCCAAATATGGCGACAATGCTTGGTGTATGTCCCCTCTCTCTGTCTCATTTTATACACTCCTTTTCCCTCTCTCATTTCCTCTCTCTAGGCACAGCGCGAGCTTGATGGTAATATCTTTTATAGGTTCTCACAACCGATGCTCAAGTAAGAAGTGATGTTTGGAGAGAAATGGTCCGGACATCAGTGAGTAGAAGTTTCAACCAAATTACTGTGAGTAACCACTCTTCTCTCTTATGTTGATCAGTGTGTGAAGCAATTACACAACCTGCAAAGAACTTATGGAGTCCATCAAAATACTTCCATACATATATATTGAAAATCTATCAATACAATATTAATGTTGTGTGAGGTTCATATCTAGTAGAATAGTGTTGGATACCGATTAGTAGACATTATTTGTTTTTGCACTGGGGTTTAATTTGCTTGGTAATTTGTTTGGAACTATAACTCTGAGAATACATGAGCATTGTTGACTAGTTGGGTTATCTTATGGCCATATGATCTCCTTGGGCATGCACCTAAAACTCATAGCTGTTTTATCTCATAAATCTGAAGGTGGATGGTGATACAAGTACGAATGACTGTGTTATTGCTATGGCTAGTGGATTATCTGGTTTGTCGGACATCCTCACTCATGATAGCGTTGAAGCTCAACAGCTCCAAGCATGCCTAGATGCAGTAAGTTCCAGTTCCCCAATCCAAGCATGCCTGTGTGTGTGCCATAATATTACTTATAGCAATCTATATAGTTTCAGTTATACTGTTAAGTAGAAAGAGTCTGACCTATCTTTATGTAGGTAATGCAAGGCCTCGCAAAATCCATAGCATGGGATGGTGAGGGTGCAACCTGCTTAATTGAGGTTAAGTGGATCAGTGGCATAATACTTTTAACACTTTGTGTCTTCTGCATTATCATCCTACTGGGAGTCTGTGACACATTTTCTTGCGAAAATGATGACTTGGCTCTTTACTTTCAGAAAAACAATTTGAGTCATCTGGCAACAGTTTCATGCATTATATCAAAATTCATTTCGTACATTTCCAGTAATATAGCACAATCTTCTAAAGTGCCCTTTTCCTATGCAGGTTACTGTAACTGGTGCAAATAATGAGGCAGACGCAGCGAAGATTGCTCGTTCAGTGGCAGCGTCCTCCTTGGTTAAAGTATGTTATTATTTACCTGCCATGTATTGCAGCCTGGGAGCATACGAGCATTACTAGTTTTTTCTTTTGCATTCCTTATCCCACGAGACCTGAATGATTGGATCATTTTTTGGGCCAGGCTGCTGTATTTGGCCGAGACCCGAACTGGGGGCGCATTGCTTGCTCTGTCGGATATTCAGGGATTCATTTTGATGCAGATCAACTTGATATTTCCCTTGGAGTTATTCCACTAATGAAAAATGGCCAACCACTCCCTTTTGACAGGTTAAAGAAACCTTGACTACATATAATTCTAAATTTACTTGTTTGAGTCACAGTGAATAGAACTGTTGAACTCTTTAGTGCTATGAGCTAAAACGCCAACTCTTTTTCTTAGATCTGCTGCTAGCAAGTATCTCAAAGATGCTGGTGACATCCATGGTACAGTGAACATTGATGTATCAGTTGGTAAGCTTCCAGCCTCTGTGGTGCACAATTAAAACTGTAGTATGTCCTTGTATGAGAGCTTCATGATGTTCCGCATATGTCTTCTAGAATACTCTTAGTTCATATTTATCTTCTAGAATGCTCTTAGTTCATATTTATGCCCATTAAATTGCTGTATTTGCATTTAATCCTTTCCCGTATTCATTAGTTTCGTGAATTAGTATTGATGTTAAGACAGCTGTGAGACAGGCTAATGGGGTGTCTTGAATCAAACGAACCCTGAAATGAATGCTTTCACAGACATTGATTCGTGTGAAGGGAAGCTCAGATTGCGCATAACCCAGTTGTTTTTCTTATCCCCGAACAATCTGATACTCTATTTATCCTTTTTTTTCAAGAATACGCTCTATTGATGGTTATATTTTATGAAATTGTGAGACTGCCATAACAATACACATCCATTGTGTTCACAGGGAATGGAGGAGGCACTGGAAAGGCGTGGGGCTGTGACCTAAGTTATAAGTATGTCGAAATAAATGCTGAATACACAACGTGAAATTCGTATTCTCCATGAAAACTGCATTTCTGAATACACATCCGTTGTCTTCATTTGTCTGAGTGCTCTTTCGATGCAACTGCATTTCTGAAAACTATATCATACCGAAACGATAGTGTGTTGTACCAATAGGTCGAACATGTATTATCTTTTACAAGAACAGTCAGGTTAGTGTTTTGTGACTGGAATAATGCGCTGAAGAATTTGGTGGTACCATGTGAAAATTGTCTACCATCCTTCTCGGTTCTGATTGATAAAGGAGGATGTTGGCCTGACAAAATAAAGTTTATTTGGATTTTTGTATATGCTATTATTTGTGGATTGGAAGGGGAGCCTTGGCGCAGTGGTAAAGCTGTTGCCTTGTGACCATGAGATCACGGGTTCAAGTCCTGAAAACAGCATTTTATAGAAATGTAGGGAAAGGCTGCGTACTATAGATTCAAAGTGGTCGGACCCTTTCCCGGACCCTGCGCAAGCGGGAGCTACACCGGGCTGCCCTATTATTTGTGGATTGATTGCAACTTTCAGGTACCAAGTCAAGTTTCTCACTATGCCATAATAAGTAGTCGGTTGACTGCAGAACATTAGCATTTGGTTCAGTAGGTTCGTTCGATGAACATCCTGTTATTCACTGATAGAGCTTGGTGTTGTGACATTGAAATGGGTTGGTGAATAGAACGAGGGGCCAACTTGGATGTTTTGGCATGTTGTACTTTTGCTAAATTTAAAGAATACTAGTGAAAATTAAAGATATCTGATTTTCTTTCTCTAACATACATAGTTAACCGGTATACTTGCATATAAAGTTTCACGAAAAAATGGCATCCATGGAAATCTGGGCAAAAATGACAAAATTGAAGCTATATTAAAAACACTACTTGATGAATACTATGGTCCTAATTGTATTTTCTTCACTAAGAATACCTCATGTGTCAATACTTTACAAAACTTCACACGTGAGTAGAATGGCCGACCAAATTTGATACCCCAACATTTTAGAATTCAAAAGAATGGTATTTTTCTTTTAATTTACTATTCATGTGGGTGCGTGTGGAACCATGTTCGCCTTTCTATTTTCGCCAAGGAGCTCATTATTTTGAAAAACGTGAAAGATGTATTAAGAAGTTTGAAAAAACAATCCGCTGGTATATATGAATGTATTATATATATTTGTAACCTTCATGAGAAAGTTTGTTAATTTGTAATCTACAGAAAAAGACAATTTTCTGGGTGCACAAAGGCAAATAATAACTCTATTTTTGGACCATATATTTTTCTTTTATAGGAGGGTGCGCGCGCGCACATATGTAAATTTGTTTTTAGAAAAAATGGGTTTCAAAATATTGTTTTTTATTCTTTTTTCACACAAAATACTAGCTCCACGTAATATGGATTCGGTTTTGTCCTTTTGGGTTCCATGTCTTCTTATTCGGCAGACATGCCAAGATTAAATGGACGAATGTGATCTCTTTCTAGGTTAAATGGATGACCATGATAAATTCAGCCAATGCAACAGAAATTATAGAAGTTAGGAAATGTTCAAACATAATTCACAAGAACATTTGCAATCTTTCAAAACTATCTCAAACCCACACTTCTAAGTAAAAAAATGTTGTTGTTGTGGAGAGAACGTGAGATTAGGAGGTACTCCCTCCGTAAAGAAATATAAGTAGTGATATGAACGCTCTTATGTTTTTTTACAGAGGAAGTATCTCTTAACCATATTCTCAACATAGACTAAACAAGTAGGGTGTATGTACAAATCACTTGCATCATACACTTGACGAAGTGAATTGTGATGTGTTTTAATAGGTTTGGTCGCCTCGACGGTACGCGACCTAGTCCTATTTTGTGAACTACTGAGGGAGGCTTGATCGCCAACTTGGTTTGTATGGGACCTCCCAAGGTTGAACCTGGGCTTCTTTTCCTTGATGTTGGTCTGAGTCGTATGGGACCCCTCGGATACGGAGGTAGAGCTTTGTGCTCTCTCTCTCTCTCTCTCTCTCTCTCTCTCTCTCTCCTCTTGTGTGTATTCAAGTGAGACACGATAGAGCCTCCACCTTTGAGGGTTTATATAGGCTAGGAGTCCTTAAATGACCAAGACTGCTTAGAGGTGGTAGGGGAGAGAAGTAAATGGATAAAAGTTGACCCACTAGTCTATGGAGGGACAAGATATGCGGTGAATTGGCCTTCGTGCTTGACCTATTCTTTTTATCTTCTTTCTTCTTTGAATTATTAACTATGAATTGATGCTTTGACTTTTGTTGAATTTGCTTGATAAACATATGACTAGGTGGCACCCTCAGCATAAAAAATCACATTAGTCGCATAATTTGCAAAAAAGACATTTTCATCAACATTATTTCGTTGTTCTATGAAAGCAAGTCATCACATGACACAACGTGACGTTGCATCTTAAACATGTTGACTACCAAAATGATAATGCAATATCATTGTTAAGGAGAAATAGTGCACATTATATTTTGATCGAGGATATGACTCTTATCATGGAATCTAAGATAAATTATGATTTGTTCTCCCATGAGACATACTAAATGACATCTATTCTAGTTACAACTCTAGGACACAAGCACTTGAATAGTTGTATCTAGACATATATTTATTACATATTATACATCACAAGATACTATGTGATACAACACCGATACAAACTCTTGAGTTGTATCTAAACATATATTTGTCGCACATGATACATCATAAGATACTATCGAACCTGCAATGACATTTAATCATTTTTTGATATCAATAATAAATATACTTATAGGGGACTAATTATGTTTGCTAAGTGAATATACAAGGTTTAGTCCTCGTGGATAATTTGTGTGTGGATCATGAAGAAAATATGCCCTAGAGGCAATAATAAAGTTGTTATTTATATTTCCTTATATCATAATAAATGTTTATTATTCATGCTAGAATTGTATTAACCGGAAACTTAGTACATGTGTGAATACATACGGAAATAGAGTGTCACTAGTTTGCCTCTACTTGACTAGCTCGATGAATCAATGATGGTTATGTTTCCTAAACATAGACATGAGTTGTCATTTGATTAACGAGATCACATCATTAGAGAATGATGTGATTGACTTGACCCATCTGTTAGCTTAGCACGATGATCGTTTAGTTTGTTGCTATTGCTTTCTTCATGACTTATACATGTTCCTATGACTATGAGATTATGCAACTCCCAAGTACCGGAGGAACACTTTGTGTGCTACCAAACGTCACAACGTAACTGGGTGATCATAAAGGTGCACTACAGGTGTCTCCAATGGTACTTATTGAGTTGGCATAGATTGAGATTAGGATTTGTCACTCCGATTGTCGGAGAGGTATCTCTGGGCCTTCTCGGTAATGCACATCACTATAAGCCTTGCCAGCATTATAACTAATGAGTTAGTTGCGGGATGATGCATTACGGAACGAGTAAAGAGACTTGCCGGTAACGAGATTGAACTAGGTATGAGATACCGAAGATCGAATCTCGGGCAAGTAACATACCGATGACAAAGGGAACAACGTATATCGTTATGCGGTTTGACCGATAAAGATCTTCATAGAATATGTAGGAGCCAATATGAGCATCCAGGTTCCGCTATTGGTTATTGACCGGAGACGAGTCTCAGTCATGTCTACATAGTTCTCGAACGCGTAGGGTCCGCACGCTTAAAGTTCGGTGACGATCGGTATTATGAGTTTATGTGTTTTGATGTATCGAAGGTAGTTCGGAGTCCCAGATGTGATCACGGACATGACGAGGAGTCTCGAAATGGTCGAGACGTAAAGAATGATATATTGGACGGCTATATTCGGACACCGGAAGTGTTCCGGATGTTTTAGGAGAAAACCGGAGTGCCGGGGGGGGGGGGGTTACCGGAACCCCCCAGGGAAGTATTGGGCCTTAATGGGCCTGAGGGGAGAGAGAGGACAGCAGCCCACGAGGCGGCGTGCCCCCTCCCATGAGGAGTCCGAATTGGACTAGGAGAGGGGGGCGCGGCCCCTCTTTCCCTCTCCCTCTCCCTCTCTTTCCTTCCCCCTTCCCCCTTCCTAGTAGGACTAGAAAAGGATGAATCCTACTCCTACTAGGAGGAGGATTCCCCCTCTCCTTGGGGCGCACCAAGGCCGGCCGGCCTTCCCCCTTACTCCTTTATGTACGGGGCGGGGGGCACCCAAAGACACACAAGTTGATTGTTCCAAGCCGTGTGTGGTGCCCCCCTCCACCATAATCCACCTCGATCATATCGTAGCAGTGTTTAGGCGAAGCCCTGCGTCGGTGGCAACATCATCACCGTCATCACGGCGCCGTGCTGACGGAACCTCCCACGAAGCTCTGCTGGATCGGAGTTCGTGGGATGTCATCGAGCTGAACGTGTGCTGAACTCGGAGCTGCCGTACGTTCGGTACTTGGATCGGTTGGATCGTGAAGACGTACGACTACATCAACCGCGTTCTCATAACGCTTCCGCTTACGGTCTACGAGGGTACGTGGACGATACTATCCCCTCCCGTTGCTATGCATCACCATGATCTTGTGTGTGTGCGTAGGATTTTTTTTGAAATTACTACGTTCCCCAACAGTGGCATCCAAGCCAGGTTTATGCATAGATGTTATATGCACGAGTAGAACACAAAGGAGTTGCGGGCATGGGTATATGCATATTGCTTGCCGTCACTAGTTGATTCTTGATTCAGCGGCATTGTTGGATGAAGCGGCCTAGACCGACATTATGCGTACGCTTACGCGAGGCTGGTTCTACCGACGTGCTTCGCACATAGGTGGCTAGTGGGTGTTTGTTTCTCCAGCTTTAGTTGAATCAGATTCAATGAACAAGGTTCTTTCTGAAGATCAAAAAGTAATCACTATACCACGTTGTGGTTTTTGATGTGTAGGTAAGAATGGTTCTTGCTCAGCTCATAGCAGCCACGTAAAATTTGCAACAACAAGGTAGAGGACGTCTAACTTGTTTTTGCAGGGT